AAAAAAAAAATGCCAGCCCAGTTGAACATTTGAACTGACCCTAGTTTTAAGCTAACTGTAATTTTACCTGCTTTATCATTGATTCACATTCCTTGTCTGTTATCTTGCAGAAAGCATAAATTAGACCCTTCTTAGCTACCACACTTGACTGCTGCTTAGCATTTCAAGTGTTAACATTACAAGCTTGATAAATTGAGAAACACTTCAATTTATACCATGTCTGAATGAAGGTGAACGGTTTGTGTCAGGTCGTTCTTTGACTTCATGCCATGCATTGAAACAGTGTAATACACACATAGTCATTTTCATATTATTCTTATTTGGTTCCAAATAATGATGCTCACAATTTCCAATGAGAAAGTTGAAGGTGACAAAGGCAAAGAAAACCCTTGATGTTTAACTGAATGAGGAAGAAGACTTTGGATGAAACATACAAATGTTAATTTGATTCATATTGCCTCACAAAATTAATGATACTGACAAACGTCCCAGACTTGATTATGACCGTTTATATTACACTTTATTTTTTAGTGAAAGAAAATTCACTGAGCCTGTAATAAACTTTAAAACAATCTTTAAATAATAAAACATTAGGGACACACTTTAATGTATTAACTGCTGAAAGCATCGATGTAGGGGGTGGGTTGACTTTATTCACAACATAACAGTCTCTACATAACAGTCTCTCATAAAGAATATAAAGATCTCATAGAATAATCCATAACATCTGCAATGGACAAGGTGCAGACCGTGCATGGCAGACACTGGTTATGGACTGCACTTAATGAAATTTTGTTGCAAGATGGGTGTGGGAATGATGGAGGGCTTTAGGTAGATCGGTGCATCTTAGGATGTTGTCCTAGGGTGTCTGGTGGAGAAAAGAAGCGGAAAAAAATGTTAGAGCATTTTACAAGGAAATAATGTACAAAAATTACTGAAGGTGTAAACAATTTTTTTTTTTTAAATCCCAAATCCATATTATTTATGCCAAAGCTTGTATAAAAATGATTCTCAACTATGTTATGAAAGATATGTAATAATGGGAATAATAATTGATTTTCATAATAATATCTAATATTTCATAGGAATATTGACATATAATTTCTTTCCCT